TGTTTTCATTGTACTGCAGTTGTGAAAGCACTTGAGCGATATCAGTGGTACTAGAAATGTTTGGTAGACATGTTCTCCTAAGAGGAAAATATTCCGACTGTCAGGAGAGCTCTTTCAATCCTTATGCTTGGTGTAAGCACTGCAAGCACAGTCTCTAGCAAAAAAGCGGTGTTGTGTTGGATATAGCTTAGGTTAGAAGATTGAGTGAAGGAGGTTGTGTCAGTCACTTGTCTTCTGATGGCTTTTTGTCAGTATGAAGGTCAGTCTGAGGGTGCTCCAAGCTAACACCTTGTCCAATGTTACACTTCATTTCCTCAGTGATAAAAATGTATCATTGCAGCGACTGAAGTGATGTGAATTCTTGGGTCTGCTTTTGAAATCTGAAATTTATTTGGCATGGAAGAGATGCTGAGCAGCTTAACAGCAAACTTCTGAGTGCTGGCTTTAGTTTTCATCTTGTAGACAAGATGCACTTCTCCAGAATCAGTGATCTGTGCAGGCCTGTTCCCTGGTAGTATTTTTCGTAGGGATCCTTCTGATGGGAGCAAGGATGAGAAATAGAGCCAAACAAGCTCTTTTGGCAAACTGCTGGTTCTTACTGGCTTTGCTGTATTTATTATCCCAGTCTCTCACATCAAGAGTCAGGAATGAGTCTGTTGCACAATTTGAATTCCAGATAATCACATTGCATGAAGGGATGCAGGTATGAAGTCTTTTCATGGACCAAAAATCCTTTCTCCAAAAGTATTGTATGTTCATGCGTGACCTTCTTTTCTGTAAGTGCTTGTTGTCTGCTGTTTGAAAACCTTTCACCTCCATACTATTGGAGAAAAGGCACATGAGATCATATCGTCCTTACCTAGGAACTGGGTGTTAAAAGCAGTATCTGGCAGAGTAGAATAAAATGAGCTTTTTAGAATTCTTTCTGAGCATTGGGACTTTGACTTAGGCCATGTAAGACAACTTAGATTTAGGCAGGAATAGTTGTGTTGCTGACAAGTTACCGTTTGACATCTTTATTTTTTTTTGAAAGATTAAATATGAGTGTGCACAAATAACTTGGATAGCTGTAGCTTCAGGTTTAAGTTTTTYTCTTTTAACTTGAGATGATATCTAGTAATTGGGACTTTCCATGGTAGTAAGAAACAATGAAAAAGAATAAGGCGACAAAATTTTTTTTACTTAAAAATATAATTCTAATACCATACCAAAGGTTATTTCATTACACAAACTTTATCGTTACCCTGACATTGGATAAGGTAACACAGTYGTATGGAAAAGTTTTTAAATATCTCTGCCTCCAATTCATTTTCTACAATTTGAATTTTTAACCTTGCATCTCAGTTGAAGTTCAGTGGTGTTATGAATGCAGGTCTAATATGTAAAATTCAAGTTGTTTTTTTACATCTTGTTATAATATAGCCCTGCACAGCTCAACAACGGTGCAGTGAAAAATTTATGTTGAATATTAGTATCAAAATGATGCTAGTTTTGGTTTAGTTGTTAAATGGAGCATGAGAGGAAGAGTGTGAGGTGGGAGGAATGCAGCAACTGCTGACATCTGCTCTGGGGCTCTTTTTGGGGGGTCGCCGCATACAGTGCGGTAGCTTATCACACATCAGACACTGTGCAAGYGGCCTGTCTAGGACTCTTTGTTGCAAAGAGGCTTTGCAGGTTTCCTGCAGGCCTCCGAAATTCCCAGGCTTAGGTCTATCTGTAATGGTTTGGTGCATAGTAGCAAGTGAACCTTTGAAGATTTAGTGGAGTAAACATATGCAGGATGAGTCGTTTGTAAGAAAAGATAATGATCTAAAATTCCCTTGTGAAAGACTGGGTAGGGTTCAAGAATGCTTCCCAGCTTAATTGCTAGCGTGGAATAAAGACAACATTATTTAGGAAATTAGGGGTAGCTTTTAAAGTCATGTTTACAAAAAGCACAATAAATTAGGATGGCATTACCTTGTGAATATAGCTACATTATTAATTCTTACCACCACAATTAAATAAAGTGTTCAGATTTGTGGAAAGGTTGAGTACTATGGAAATAGGAAGGAAAGTTGCATCTAGTTGCTCTAGTATTTAAAATGCTCTTCTAACTTGGTGATGTAAAGTTACCCCTCTGCCCATGATCGTACAGTCAATATTAAGTGTGTTCAATATTAAGTGACTGCTGCCATGCTACATTGGTGCTGGAAACAATTCTAGCTGTTAGTGCAGAACTGCCATTTCTGTAGCTGCTCTTGAAAGAAAAGAGGCTCTTGCTTATGCAGTGAGACTGTTGTCGCRTAGCAACTACTGTACTGGAAGCTTAAAATCAGATGCTCCCTTGAAGATCACGATGCCTAGAGAATCCTTACTTTGTCTGGGCCTTGCCCTGCCTCTGTCCTAGCACTGAGTTTGTCATGTACATTTTTTGTCCTCAGGCTTCAGAATTGTGTGCGATGTGTTATTTTTTTCACTCTGATTTTTCTCATTAATGCATTCTGTGTGTTTGCATTAATTACACTTCTATTAATTTATTAATCATACTTATTAGCAAATTTAAGGGAGGCAGAATTTGAGCTCCCGCAAATATTGGGAGCTTTTGTAACTGTCTGGAGCAGGAGAGGCAGCGATGCTGCCCTGATAGGGCACGGGCTGTTGCCTCTGGTCCTGGCTCCGTTCTGCAGAGGCTGTGGGCTGGCAACGAGCATGAGTGTCTGTAGCATGTGGCTGGCTGGTACATATAGCTCCTGGCGGCGTGGGATGCCACAGGTAGAGAGAGAAGTGGGAATTTGGGAGAAGTGTGGGGAAGCTTGGAGGTTGATAGGCGAGAGGAARAAAACAGCTCTAGGTTGCTGGGATGAAAGCCCGAGTTTTCTTTATATGATTGCTAAATTTGGCAAATAAGCAGTGAACTGTTTTATGCAAAAAAAAAAAAAAAACCCCATACTTGAGAAACGTTGGGAGCTAAGCAGAATCTGACCTATATAAATCGCTTTGAAAAATACTTCATATGAAAGTAACATTTTTCTACCCCTTAAAATATGCTAATGCATGTTKAAGCACATGTTCTTGTGTTTGCGCTTGGCCCTGAAAATGCCAGCACAATTTATTGTCGTTGGTGTTTTCAATGAGCCTGTTCGTGCTCTTGTCTGTGTGCAAGGCTTGACTTCAGATGTTTGCTGTGTTCAGATTTAAAGTGTGAAAATTGCTTACGTAATAGTTTTCAGAGATGCTGAAGAATTTACCTCAATAGCTGTTAATTATTTCCCTAGGCTTTGAATTATTTATGATGCCAGGTGCTTTTAAAAAGCAGGTTAGTAACAGTGTGGACTCTGTATGTAACACTGAAGCTTTGAAAAAAGTCCTTATCTTGTATATCCAGTGCTTGAGATTATCTAAGCATGCTTTTGAGATGCAACATTTACTAGTGTGAAACTCTGCAAAGCATCATGTTGTGTTAACCATGCAGTAACATACACAATAACACAACCGTACAAATATTTTAATGTAGTAGTGATAAAATCCATACATCTTCTATATAATGTCTAAAGTTGCCTGGATAGTGTATATTAACAGACAAGAAGCATTAATGTTGGCATTTTATATAGAGATTTTTTWTATTGCATTTGTTTTAGTTAACTTTCTGAGGACCTGATACTGACAGAATTAATGAATTCTGTATATTTGGAATCTAGCATATTAAGATGCTTGTTTTCTACATTCATTATGATACTTTGATTTTTAAATTGTATAATAGTAATGTCAGGTTTAAAGTAAGCATCAAACTTTACAGTTGTAATGCAGGTTGGGAAGAATTATTCTACGCTGAGTGAAAAAAGTTACCAAAAATCCCAAGTTAGCCAGTGTCTGGAGCGGCCAGATAGCCTCTTAGCTGCTAGTTGTGGCTGGCAGTGCTTACCTGCTGTGGGAGAGGGTGAAAGGCAGCTCCCTACATGGTCAGCTACGTAGGCAAGGAGAGGCAAACGTTGTACTGTGCTGTACCCTCAGCTATGTCTGTAGATTTGGTAGCTGAGGTGTGTGCACCTCGCTTAATGATCTGCGCTGGAATTTGTCATCCGTTAAGATGTACTTGTCCCTTTTTGGTGTCAGAGTTCCTTCTGTCCAACGACTTAATTTTACTCAGCTAATTTTTATGAATGCCTCCAGTGCAAGTGCAGGGTTCAGGAATTTTGATCTACTGCCAGTAATATACAGTAATGTATATTGTAATTGTGGTGACTTTCTCATAGGAGTGGTTATTAGTTGGGGACAATTTGCATCTCTTTGGTGCTTGACCTCTTTTGAGTTGACTTCTGATTTCTAGTGAAGTTGGGTGGAGATGAGAAAGCTGCTTGCGAATTAGGTGGGATGGTTTTGGAAAAAAACATCTTTAAAACAGTAGTTTTAATTAGTAATACCTGATAATGTAAATAGATACATTTTTTCCTRGTAAAGTTGTCTTTTTAATTTCTGTTCTTCACGAGGTCAGGATGCCAGAGCTATTATGGAAACTGAAAAAGTGTTGCCTGTTAGAAAACCTTACTTTTTTTGGATTAACTGCTTTCCAGTTATATAGATATTCTGTAATTTATCATACAGGAAGCTTTTTCTAAAGAACAAGCTAATGCTTTTTAGCAGTATCTTGATTGCGTCAGGTTACTCTCTACATGTTATTAAATTATCCAAATAATTCTGCAGAGCTTTTCGAGAAGCTGTAGTTATTCATGTGGATCCCTGAATGCCCGTTCTTAGAGTTTTGAAAATTCAAAGAGCTTGACAAGCTTGTATGTCCTTCCTCTAAGTAGCCGTGAACTGATTTAAAAAACGAAGTTATACTTMGGTTGTGTTTGTCTCCTTACATCAGACATTCATACATGGATCTTCCCATTGCTATTTAGCCACTTGCCTACCTAAAACCCCAGGCAATCCAAGCAGCCTGTCATTCAACAACTTAACACTGCTACAGTATCGAACTGCTCCATAATTAAATACCATGCAACTGCTCTTCAAGCCCCATGGCGGTAGCTGTTTTAAACAAGCAGCCAAAACCCCAAAATTTCTTTCCACGCCGCAAGATGTGTTCTGTGGTCTCCTAGGGCACTGTGCAAATACATGTTTGTTCTCAATTTAAGATCAAAACAAGGATTAAAAACAGGTTTAGTTTCCCTGGCAGTGACTTAAGTTTTTGAACTGCTGCATGACTTTTTTCTTTTTTAACCTCATTGAATTATCAACAGTGTTTCAAGGAGTTCTTACATATATAAAAGCTTGGGAAGTTAGTTGGTGTTATGCTTGCAAAAGGGTCATTTCAAACTCTTGAAATGAAGACAGAACACTCTGGCTATTGGGAGTGTTGAACTGTGCATTTCAGTTGTTCTAAGAAACTTGTGTATTCGTCAGCCTTTCATTAATTTGTTTATTCAGAGACACGACTGAATATAGTGAATTTATATACCATATAAAGGAGAATTTCTTCTAGTTGCCTTTTTCTTCAGACAAGTGTTTTAGTTCATGGGAAATGTCTTCAAAAGCACCCCATAAACTTTTAAAATGCACTATTCAAATGCCTATAAAAATTTGTCAACTAAAACCAGAATCCTGTGTCTTGAGACTGTTGTTGCTCATCACTTAATCACTTGAATCATATAAGTCAAGAACTGTGCAGGCAGGTGGAAAAGCACATAAATGTTTTGTCAGTATATCCCTTCTGTTTATTTCTGATCATACCCRGAGAGTTAAATTTTAAAACACCAGGTTTGAAATAAATACATATTGGTAAAATATATATTATTTAAAAAGAATTTTTTTAATGCTCCCATGTATTTAATGCTGTATATGTCTTCTTTCTAGGAGAAGGAGCTACTGCTGAAGTTTCTTCATCTTTTGTGATTCTGTSTCTATGTACTTTAGTAGTGCTGGTAATACTGCTTGCAAACTGTGTCTCCTGCTGTAAAGATCCTGAGATAGATTTCAAGGTAAGCATTTGAAGCTGCAAATGTGAATGTGAGCGCTTTTCTGGCAGCGTTCTATCCAAACTCATATCCAAAATACCTGATTACTTGTGCTAATAGTCAGCAGGTATCAATACTTCTATGTCACTATGCATCTTCTCTTCWGAAATAGTCACGACTGTATATCTGCATGAGTTCAAATGTTGCTGTAGCCAGTAATTTTCGGTACTTGGCCTAGGCTGTAGTACTGGTCTCTGTCTTCTCAAAATCACTGCAGTCTAGTGGGGTGTCTAGTAGAGGTAGGCACATAAGGCAGTTTTACAGTAATTAAAGATCCTTCTTCCTATATCTTCGCATATTCCAGGCAAATAAGGATATTGAAAGTGCATATCCACTGTAGCAAAATTCCTGAGGGTACGTTGTCATCAGAGAATGGTTACTTCTGGAACCTCRGTTATCAGCAACCCTGATTTTCGGATTTTGCTCTTATTTCTACTTGGAAAATATGTGGAATGAATAGATCTTCATCTATTTTTTCCAAGCTATAGATTCTCTTTTCAAAAGTAAGAGGAAAAGCAGCAAAAAATTAAAGACCTGRTAATGCTTGGTAGTTTAATATGCCTTAAAAATCAAGTTCTTTATAGTGGGTATCATGGTGTAGTGTTTTACCTCTAGCAGGTTTTAATATAGTCAGATTTAAATATTCAGATATGAAACTAGGAAAAATGTATTAATGTTAATTTATGTTTATTTACAAATTTTTGTGTTGCAGGAATTTGAAGATAATTTTGATGATGAGATAGATTTTACACCTCCAGCAGAAGATACTCCCTCTGTTCAGTCTCCAGCAGAAGTGTTTACTCTTTCAGTTCCCAATATTGCTTTACCAACTCCCTCCCAGTTTCCACATCTTTCAGGTAAAATAGACTTCTTCAATAAAAAAAAAAAAGTAGATAATTCAGAATTGACTGTGCCTGACTCTTTGTTATATGGATCAGTTTAAAATTTATTTCAATTAATAAATACATTTTATAGGATATAAGATGAGGTGTAATGCTTTAGAAATCTACTAACTGATGGCAGGATGTTCCAAGAGGCTTCAGAAAATTAAACTTGGTTATATAAGTTTCTCTAGACTGCTATCTTGATGCATCTATATACTTTAAGGGTTTGAAGTGCTCTTGGACATTTGTGTCTTCCTAGCCTTAAATGGAAGCAAGAGGGAATCTCTTGTATGACAGTTGTGCTACTGTTGCAGCTGAATTGCTTTCTTAATGTTGCCGTAAACTTTCCATGTCATTAATGTGATACTGGTATGAGAAGGCATTAGATTTCTTCTGCCTCTRCAAAATAAGTTTCTTGGAATGTATTTTTGAAAAGGCAAAGTTTCTGTAAAAGGAAACTGAAATATCTAAAATGTGACAGCACAAAAGTAGGTACTTGTGTATGATAACTTCACATGCAGTCTTTACATGTCCTACTTGCATTACATAATCATTAGATTTTCAGAGATGAGATAATTAAATTTGCATAACTAGTAGCAATTTTACATGTCAGCATGTCTTGCAGTACCAAAGAAATGTAACTCACCAGTATTTTAATGACCGAGAAAAACAAGTTTGTGAAAAGCTGTATCTTTTGTCAGTTCTTCTATAATGGTATAATTGGTAAAATGTATTTTTTCCACTATATATTATTTTGCATGGAAGCAATCGAGTAAGATACACTGGTCAAAGTGTAGTTTTATTGATTAAAGCATTATGAATACTTAAGAGCATGTTGACAGTGTATTGTTATGGTATAGCTGTTTCAGTAAACTGGCCCTGATGTAACCTGATTTGTGGTAGTAAAACATGGCCTAGGAATTCTCRGTCTGGGCCAACTAAAAAGGTGATGGAAAAAATGTTGTGCTGCTGAACCTCTTTTATCATAAAGAGTCTACCATTGCTACTGCTTATCCTCTACCAGGATCATCTTGTGTGTTGTGTGTGATTTTTTTAATCTTTGCCTTTCTGGGTTCCTTATGTGAAATATTTTTAGTCAGAAAGTGTCCTCCTTTTAGAGAGTATTTGTAAGTAGGGCAGTTGGGATGTTGGGTTTGTTCTCTCATGTACGCAGGAAACTTTTGTATGCATGTCGTTTATTATACACAACTGTGGTGAGCARTATACTTGTAGACTGGATTTAAAAAAGCTAATGTATTATATGAAGAGTCCCCCTATCCTTTTTGTAGGGGGACGTTCTGAAGCAGGTTGTTTAGAGGCTGAGAAATCTTTTTGAGTGTTTTGTCAGTGTTGCATGAATATTCTAAATATTTTATGCATGTCTGAGTGTGTTGCAGTGGTTAGCTGAAGGTGCCCATGTGACACGGTAGATGTTGTAGGAGCTTGTGTTTATATGTTCATCAGTTGTAGAGATAACTTTGTCCATATGAATAGTTTCAGTTTTTCTTTCTGTTTGTTGTTGTGTATGACAGAGGGATCAAAGTGTCAAGTTTCTCGTCAGAGTTTAAACTATATCCAAGAAATCGGAAATGGCTGGTTTGGAAAGGTGAGATGATGTTCTTTTAATGTTGTAGTATTGTAGTACTACTAAGCTTAGCTAGACAGGCAACTGTATTTCTGTTAAATGATTCTAATAGTGTAAGAACAACTCTGGTAGAAATTAAATGTTGCATGCTTTTTTTTTTTTTTAAAGCTTTGATTAGTGCTTTTTTAATCTACTTGGAGTTTCTTRGCAGAGTTACTTAATTGTCTAACACTTAATTCAGTCTACAGAAGTGAATACGCTGCTGTTATTACCAGTTCTTCCTTAGGGAAGAATCTTGAAAATAAATAAGTGACCTTCACTAGAAAGTTTACTTTTTGAAAATTGCTCCGCAAGTCAAGATTTATTTTAAAGTACGAGTATTTAATTACCAAAAGTTTACATGCATTGACAGAAGGGACAGAAAATCTTTCTTACTGCATGTATTCARTAGCTCTTGTTTTTCTTTATAGCAACTGAGTTTAATCTTCTGATTAAAGAAAAGTGATTCTCATTTTTTTCAGGTTCTGCTTGGAGAGATCTACACAGGTACTAGTGTAGCAAGGGTAGTAGTGAAGGAGTTGAAGGCAAGTGCGGGTCTGAAGGCACAAGAGCAATTCTTAAGAAGTGGAGAACCGTATTAGTAAGTAATATTTGATAGCTGGGTTAACTTGAATGGCCTCATGCTACTGTATGAGTTATGAGTTTGACTCATGTTAATTTCTCTTCTTGTCCTCTCTTGTAAATTAAATGATTGTACTTGCATCAACTGTATTTCCTTCCTAAAAACRAGCAAAAAAAGTTTGTTTAAAAAAAAAGGGAAACAAGCTCTTTGATTTAATGCATTTGGGAGTCTTTATTAATGACTGTAAAATACATTTGATTTGATTTATTATTTTTTTCCTTCCCAACATTTCCAGGCAAAAGCTCATGATACTGCACACTGACCTTTTGTCTACTTGCTTGTTTCCAAGAACTGAAATGTAATTCTTAGTATTTGTATGTTCTATTRCAAATGTGAAGCCTGGCAAGACTCTCATCTAATGCATGTTAGTTTCTTTAAAGTTCCCGTTTTCAAAATTGAACTGCATCGTGTTGGCTAAAGGTGATTACGTTCAGGTTAMTTGCAGGGAAGACTTGTCTTAATAAAAAGGAGTTTAGGATTATACAAAATTGGATCCTATGCTAATCTCTAGTCCACCAAGTGTCGATCAGACCAAAAATGCTGATAAGGTTGGGATTGCTTGTTCTCTTCCTCTTCGTGTATTATGGTTGGAAGGTAATCAGAAGTATGTGCTTCTAGGGCATTATTCTTTGTATTTGGTGTATTAGAGCAGTGCAATTCCTCCTGCTACATTTTGGTGATAGCAGGAGCTCTCTGCACTGCTGCCTGCTGCACACTGGTGCTTTCTGTAGATGACTGGTGCTTTCTGTAGATGACTGGTGCTTTCTGTAGATGACTGATGCAGAGGAGCACACTAGTCATCCCTCAGTGTGGCTTGCATGGCTAGAATATGGTACAAGTGAGTGACATCAAGGAGCTTTCTACACTCAGTGCTTTGTCCTAGTTACACCTGCACTTGGGTTTCAGTTGTTGTCAGGGAAAGCAGTCTCAAGCCTTCTGCTGCATTGACAGTAAGGACTTCTGATTTAGAGGAGAGAGAGATTTTTTTTTAAAAAAAGCTCTCTCTGGAAAGTAAACCTGGCTAAAAAGTTTAACTTTTGCCTGAATTGCTTCCTTAGGGTAGTTCACAAACCAGGAGCATGTGTGAACACTTGTGTAAAAGGGACAGTGGAGATGGGAGGGCAGTTGTCACTCTCTTGTGGCAGTGTTGGCTTAAGAGGTTTTGAGAGTTTTTCAGCTGCTATTTTACTGATTTCAGCAATACAAAGGAGATGTGAAGGTGCGAAGGGAATTTGTGGCTCTGGATATTTGCACCTTCTTCTGTCCTGTATGTACTGAATCTTCCAGCAGAGATCTCAAGTGTGTTGCATTATATTGTAAATGTATACTGCAGTCCTTCTGACTTAAACCCCTTTTATTTTTTATTTTTTTTCCTTGCAGTATTCTTCAGCATCCAAATGTTCTGCAGTGTATTGGGCAGTGTGTGGAAGCCATTCCTTATCTTCTAGTTTTTGAGTTCTGTGACTTGGTAAGTACACTTGCAGAAAAGGCTGCAGCTGGTTTTTGCCTCGTGTGAATTGTAGGTAGTGTATTTATTGCCCTTTACTCATCATTGTCCTGGTGATTTTTTTGCATGATCCTATTCCCTTCCTGATCCCCAGGTCCCCTCCAGCCACTGTCACTTCCATCCCCTCATCCTGCCTCTCYCTTAACCCCTATTTGAATGAAGCAACTGCCTTTCCTAGACTAAGAGCTCAGGGAAGGTTTTTTCACGGCTCTTCCGCTGTTAGCACTATGAAAGCCACCAAAGATGGGAAGGGAAGTTGCACAGCACTTTGGTCAGGGCCCTGCACTCCTGGGCCTGTGCCGAAGTTCACCTCGTCTTTGTGCGTGAGGCCGTATGCACGTGCAGAAACTTTGAACTGTACCCGGTACACACAATCTGCAGACACTTCAGCCATTAGAATTTATCAAGTTTCTACTGAATGTTTGCAAGCAGATTTTAAAGTTTGGCTATGGCAATGGATCCAGAGTCTGGAAAACCTTGAAGAATTGCTTTACTGCAGCATCATGTGATATTAAAAGAAAARCAACCCCCAGCTTCAGGTGGCTATCTGAGCATGAGCTGATTAGCTGCCCTTAATGTGTGTGTCTTGTTGTCTAGATGGCATTTAAAGCAAAGTTTATTTATAGTTTGAAATAAATGAATTAATGTGCATATATATTAAAGTTTAAGATTTTCAGAAGTAGTTTACATTTATCAGATTCAAYGCGATCCTTTTTTCAACTTCATTACTACAGATTTTTCTCTTAAACTCAAGTGCATGAATATGGTTCTAGTTATATTAATTGCCTCAAGCAATTTTAATAAGAATGAGCATGAACATCTGAGTTTTATTGAGAAATATCAGTTAATGTGTGTCCTTAAATAACTATATTCTCTGTTACTGCTCTTGCTCAAATTTATTAGCTGCAGTAAATTAATGAGGCAGAAGAAGTGCTGATAGAATCATTCTTTTTTTCTTTTCCTGTACGTGGAAGAAAGGCTTGAACTTTTCAAGTGACTCATCAAAGTGAAATGTTCAGTTTTGGGCAAGAATTAGAAAATACATGCCTAAGGTTAATCCGATAACATTCTTGATTTTTTTTCAGTTTACATAAATGGAATAATTCATATTGATTTTAGAACTGCTTGAATTTGAGGTTCAGAAGGATTCTAGAAGAGCAACTACATTTTATATAGTTTATGCTAATAGATATACATCTAAATATTTAATCAGATTCAACTGCTGGCATATTTTAAAATAGTTGTTATTTAATCTTACTTAGAATTGAAGATGGAGCAACTTCTAAAGATTGCCCTACTTTAGGGATACAGAAAATTAATATCCTTGTTGGATGCCTGATGATTAATGCCAAAAATGTCATGATCCTGCAAAGTAATCTGGAAAGGATTTTTCTTAAGGGGATAAAATAGATTTTTCACTAACTGGGGGTAGTAAGCTTGACAGCTGAAGTGATAGTTTTAAAATTGAATGTAGCTGGACAGTCTTATTGGCATGGTAAGTAAATGTGCTGATTTCTACTGCAAGCAAACTGAAGCCTGTTTTTTGAGAAGAATATATATTATACTGAAATACAGTTAAACATGGCTTGTCTAATGTTTCATGCTGGATATTTAAATTATTTGAAGAGTTCTTATTTGGTAGATCTGGACCACACCTGGAGATGATGTTCTCTTTTTGTTCACTGTTCACACAAATATGCAGGGGCTAGGCAGACAAAATAGTGTTCACTTTAATAGCTTTATGCAGAGATCGGAAGACAAGCGAATGATAAAGTTAGCTCAATATCCATGTATGTMACTAATTTTGTTGTAAATTAGTATGAACTAGTGTGGGGAGTAGCAATACTGGAGTTAAGGGCACAGGGAGATGTGAAGGAAGAAATAGCTGTGAAGCTGGAAAGTGGCATTTGGAATAGAAGGTAGCTAGGTGCCTTTTTTTTTTAAAGGTAGTTTACGGACTGATACCCTGGAAACTGTTTTTACCCTGTGGCTGGTGTGGCAGTTACTGCCTGAATTTTTCAAGGAATGTTGAAAAATGGTGGATTCTGTTGTACTTCTGAAATTGGCTAATGTTGGGRATATGGAGGTGCTTCCATAACACGGTCTTCACCAGAAGATGTATAGGCATAGACTAGGCTGAAGTGGCTTGCTGCATCCTCTTGTCTCTGGTGATGGAAGGATGACTTTATATGTGTATTCAGCAAAGAATAAACTTATTTTAATGTGTTACATAAATCTTAATTTATGTGATTAAGAATCTGATAGTTAGTGAAAAGGTGGCTAATGTACCAGCTGTGTTTGAGATTCTTATGTATTTGGAGCTCTTTTTAGGCTCCCTCACAATGTAGACATTGCAAGTTTGGAGTATTAAATAATGAAAATAGGGTTGTTATTCTGCAGAGAAATAAGAATTAAGGTACCTGTTCATGTCGGACTCCTCCAGATCAGTGCCATGCCACATTATCAGTTGAATTATCAGTTCTTAGGCCTCTTGGGCCTGGAAGATCTTAGCGTGGGCAATGCAGACTGTATTACTGACTGTCCTAATAGTAACACTGTCATGGGGACTCGCTGGCTTTCTAGGCTCTTCATGGTATTCAGGCTTGCTTGGAATTATTAATATTTGCTATCATTTAGCCCATTTTATAATGTAATCCAGGTTGTTTTATGTCCCTTGATTTGCAAAGATGGTCAGTTGCACATGAATAATTAGAATATTCAAATTTTAATATTTATTTGTGTGTTTTTCAAAGCTGTTTACAATTCTTCAAATATATAAGATGCTCAATAAATGCCTAATCCTGTGCGAGTATTATGCTGTTGCTGCTAAACACTGTAGTCTGGTGCCAGGTTAACAATAGTAGTAGCAGCCAGCTTGTTAACTTGAATGTATTACCCAGCCATGTGTGGCCAACCTTTTGTCAGCACAGCAAATCGTTTAATGAAATGACATAATTTATGAGTAAAAGTTATTCAGATGTGGAAGTAGCATGTACATTGTGTGGCTGATTACCTGAGCAGGGGAGTTCAGCAGGATTTGCTTAAAATGCTCTGTAGCTTCTATTGGGGATGTGGCTTTTGCTAGGAGGTTCATGCCAGCTGGAGCTAGTTTAGAACTTGTTTAGGCTCCTGATTACTGCCACATGAAACCGCTGTCTTCAGATCAAAAAGCCTTTGCAGTGTAAACTTCTCAACTAGAGTTAAAAAATCTGTCAATGGTGTGGCTTAAAAAAAAAAAAAGTGGGGTGTGTGTGGTGGTGGGTTTTTTTAAAGGCTTGGATTCWTGTCTCTTGAATTTGAAGCAGAGAAAAAAAGCCTTTCTGATGTAAAAGACTTGGTTACAAAGAGGTCTGAGCCGATCTTGCTGAGACCTGAGCAGGAGGCGATAGTGGGGCGGCCAGATCCAGTCGCTGTTTGGAGACCCAGGGAGAGAAGGTGTCTAGCAGGGGAAGCAGGAGAGAAAGTGTCGCTTCCCTCAAGCACCGCTGAGCATGGTGTGTGGCTAAGTGTCTGAGCAGTGGGTTTTGCAGAATGAACTGTATTTGGCTGTGAGCATATACAGTCTTCCACAGTGACTGTTAGATGTGGTACAATCCAGGGCCCTTTTCTGGCTCATAAAATAGGAATAGTATTGGTGGATTGTTGGTGTCTTCTTATAGACAGAGAAGGATCACAGAATAACACAGGCTACAGGAGACCTCGGGAGGTCTCTTGTCCAACCTGCTGCCCCAAGCAGGGTCCCCTGGACGTCAGGCCRGGGTGCTCGGGGCTTTCTGCAGTTGGGTCCTGAAACCCTCCAAGGACGGAGGGGGCAGAGCCGCTCGGGASAGCCTGTTCCACTGCTTGCGTGTCCTCACGGGGGAAAGGCTTTCCCTGCGTTCAGCCTCAGCTGCTCACGCTTCAGCTGGTGCCTCCTGTCCCTCCTCATGCACCAAGCACCACAGCAGAGAGACCAGCTGGGCTCCTTGAAAACCTCTCATTTAATAGTTCTCTTAAACCAGCACCAAAAATAAGGTATTTGTTAATGCCCCTTTCCAATTTTTGGTTTATTACTTATTTATAGTTTTAACCTTGATTGGCTTATACTGGAATGACAAAACGGAACCAATATATGTTAAGATGCTGGATTTAATACAAACTGTATTTCATATTAGAAACCTGCCTATGTGAATTATTTACTAAATAAGGGATGCTGCATAGCACTGCTATTACTAATGCATTTAAAAATTAAGAAGCAATTCCTTGGTGCATTTCAGGCATTCTAGGAGCTTAATCCACCAGGATGAACCATAAATAACCACTTGCTGTTTTAATGAATGACAGCAATTTCACAGGGAATGATTTGACTTTCTTCAGGAACTTGCTGCCACCTACAGTCAGTTGAGCAATATGCTCTGTACTTGTTTGCACTCCTAGGCTGCGCGGTGGGGAATCTGTGCATCTTCTGGACACTGCTATTATGGGTACTTCTGGACAGTTACATGTGCCTTTTTTTAGCTTTATTCTAGTTGTCCTATTTAGGAGTAGTGTCTGCTTTTGTTAAGCAAATATTATATGGCTCTTTTTATTAAACAAAATAACTCAAGTTTGTGATTATCCATTCAGTCCCTTGAGCTGCCACGTCACTGTGACATTGAAACGCCTCACAGAGCTACCTGAATTGAGAAAACCGTAAACTGTCACCTTCAGTTGACAGCATCAAGCAGGAATGAGATGCTTYAGTTATAGCTTTATAATATTGCAGTGTTACAGTTTTATAAAACTACCTCCACCAGAGGAATAGGAAACTTAACCTTCAKCTCTTTCCTGAAGAGAACATTTTAACAAGTGCAAACACTTCTATTYATATTCTATTTGTAATTATTACTAATCTTGTTGATTAATATGCAAATATTGTCATAAAATAGGAATAGTATTGGTGTATTGCTGCTGTCTGGTTATAGACAGGGAAGGATCATAGAATAACACAGGCTGCAGGGGACCCCGGGAGGTCTGTAGTCCAACCAGCGGCAGCTCCAAGCAGGGTCATGATGAATACTATATGCAAATACTGTGGTTAGTTGGTTCTTCACTAAATATACTTTTTTTTTTTTTTTTAAATTCGGTGAGCAAACAGAACTGATATTTTCAACTTCTCTTACAGGGTGACCTAAAAACATATATCTGCAATGAGCAGGAACATATTAAAGGAGAATCACAGATCATGCTGCTACAGAGAATGGCATGCGAGATTGCTGCTGGACTTGCTGTAATGCATAAGCATAACTTTGTGCATAGGTATGCTTTTCAGATGACTTTTTGTTATGGTGCACTCCTACACACTGATTTTAGTGAAAAGAATATACATGAATTTTAAAGATGGTGCTTTAAATAGACTTTTATTTAATTTTACRTAAGTCATGAAAGTGCGATGCTTATTGAGCTGCTAAGTTAACTGCAGTATTGTCCCTACAACTCTGTGTTCAGAAGTTGATCACTTGCTACTTAGTTTGGCAGCCCATAAACCACAACCTACAGCTTAGCCGATCCAAAAAGGTATAGTTGTGCAACAAATATTAGGACCAGTTAAGTATGTAGTTTGTGTGTTTTTTGTGTGTGTGTGTGTGTATGTGTGTTACTGTAATGACAGTCTTTCAAAAATTGCAAATGTTGTATCTTGCAAGATTTCAGCTCATTGGTTTTAAGGACTAGCCACTGTTCAGGCTGATATACTGAGCAAGAAGTTTCAGAATGTTGTCGTTCGTCTTTTGCAAAAGGCTCATGAGTAATGCTTGTTTAAATCTTGAAGATGCTTCTATAATTCTTAAAGGTATATCATAAATTGTCAGATGTTTGACCCTGACATGATTTATTGATACTTCTTGCTCATGACAGTTGACAGGTTTTTGGTGAAAAGGAATTTACATTGCTGTATGTGGGAACAGTCTAAGTAGGTTGGTGTKACAAGATTATTAGTAAAATGGAAGTTTTGTATGCAATTCTTCGTATAGATAGAATGCTCATGAGCATATTAGGCAATTGTAGAGAAGGGAAATGACTGCATGTTGAGGTTTTCTGCAGAGAACAGCAAGACTATATGAGACTTTGAAAAGTATCTTTTAACCTGTTGTACAATTGTTGAATCATGCAAACGTAATTGATTTGAAGTCATTTTCTAATATTGCATGTTTGTTTTTGTATGAAGTTTATAAGTTATCTTGTCACTAAATTTAGAAACATTATTGTATGTTGATTCAAGAACGTAAATTTCACTTAACTGTGTGGCTCCAAATCGAAAGTTTTGAAAAATGTGGAAGAGTGGTAGGCAAATGAAATCCTGCAACTGCAAAACAGACCTTGCCTGATAAGCCTACTGTATGGAGAGACCCCTAGATAASTCCTCTTTTTCTAGTAGTGATAAATGTTTTTAGAAAAGTGCTCTACCTACAGTATTGCAGTGAGAGACTAGATCTATTGTAAACTGAAGTAGGTTTTAAAACCTAATGAAAATGTAAGCGGCAAAAACTATCTTAACATTTAGTCTAGGTCAAAGTTTATTTCTGAAATGAATATCTCAACTGACCAAGCTACTGTACCGGTGTTTGCATTTTGAATTGGTCTGTTAGTCTGGTGCGTGTGATGCCAGGTTAGCTCTCATCYGAATAAACCTCTTGTAAAGGCATGTAGCGGATGTTGAATCTATAGCATGAGTTTCATATTAACTAGTCTGTTCCAATCACGGTCTGCTATTTGCTAATATAATTCCTAAATATAAAAATATGCATTTATATATATATTTATAAAATATCCTCTCTGTCTATATAGATCTATACATGTATACACACACAGATTTTTTGGCTTTTCCATTGATAGTTTAAGCTATGTTCTAGCTTTGTTCAAAAAAATTTCACTAACATGTTAACCCAATTGTCTTATGGTTGTGTGTGTGTGTTGTTGTGTTTTTTTTTTTTTTTTTTTTTTTTTTTCTCTCTCTCTCCTCCTTCCAGTGACTTGGCCTTACGGAATTGCTTTCTTACATCTGATTTAAATGTCAAAGTAGGAGATTATGGTATAGGATTCAGTAGATACAAGGTAGGTGATCTAGTAATGCACTACTATTTTGAAGAATTTGGGACCTAAAGTTACAACAAAAATACAACAAGATTATGAACTGCTACTAATGAACTGCCAGCTGACACCTTACTGTAAAACCTGAATTAGGTGTGACTGGAAATTAACTGTAGTAAGTTCCTGTAACAGAATATATAATCTTCCTGGAAATTAATGGATTTTATTCCTCTAGAAGGAAGATTCTGGTTAAGCTTATGTTTATAGGTAACCCTTCCTGTATTCCTAAAATAGTAACGGCAAGCGTTACGCAGAAGTTACTTTCAGTGTTTTTTTAAAGGAAAACCTTAATCAAAAATAAGTAATGAAAAAATTATAACTTAGGTACATGCATCAAGAAAGTTCAAATTAAAAATGCTGAAAATGAATTTAACAGCCAAACCTTAAAGAAGTTGACATTCAATTTTTCTAGTATGTACCAAACAGTGACAGGCCCTTCCTATGTAGTAAAAATATCTACCATTTGGGAAAAAGAGAATTTTTTTTAGGTGCACACAGATATCATGCAAAATTATTCATTTTGAAAGAAAAAATATAAATAATGAAGGGGAATGCCTGTTTCTGGAATTTGGTGCAATGTTCATTCATTTTTCTGATTTTTTTAATTAATATAGGAAGATTATATTGAGGCAGAGGAGAAAAAACTTGTCCCTCTCCGATGGACTGCACCTGAATTAGTAACAAGCTTTCAAGACAGGCTGCTATCAGCAGAGCAAAACAAGTACAGTAACATATGGTATGTAGTAGGCTTTAAAATAACTTGAGCAAGAAATCTGGGAATATATTTTAAACGTTGCATTAAAAACAGTAAATATTTAATTATAAATTGAATGCATTCAAGTATAAATTGAAAACACTGCTTGTTATTTTAGCAGTCATGTAGTAGATTAATCTCTAAAATCTGAAGTAATATTCTGTCATGGAAGAATCCTTAGGATTCTTTAAGAGATCAATTATATTCACAGTTACATTACAAGTACTGAAACAAAGATCATTTTTTTCTAGTGTTTTGAAATGGCCTTGTCCTTTCTCATCAAAGTTCAGAAACTACTGGCCTTACTGTAAAAATATGCTTTGGCTGAAATGCTTTTTTTAATATGTGGAAGTTTCTTCATTGTTCAGTCATTTGTCACCTTCWTTGGTGTCACCTGCATTTGCTTGCAGTTTTTGTCACCTTCTTTGGTGTTGCCTTCAAGGAACTGTGTTCTTGAGACTTTTACCATTCTGTGTAAAGCAGCTGAAATGAGTTTACAAGTTCTGAAGTTACTGTGGAGCCAGTAAGAAAGTAGTATTTGTTCCATCTTGTCAATTATGCATTTTATAATCCTTTCTTAGCAAAACAAATTGAAAACAATCCTTAGAATGTAAATGTACTGCCATTTGCTGTTCTTTTTCAGGTCACTGGGTGTCACGCTATGGGAGCTGTTTGAAAATGCTGCTCAGCCTTATTCAGACTTCTCTGACAGGGAAGTCCTTCTCCATGTCATAAAGGAGAAGCAGGTTAAACTCCTCAAGCCACATCTGGAACAGCCATACTCTGATAGATGGTACTTTTAAATTTATGTTCATCTTTAGAGCTGTTGAACAAGTTTCTCAGGTTATGCAGTATTCTTAGAAATACATTACAATTGCTACATCAAATTGCATTCCTGGCAAAGAAACTCTAGGTAATGTAAAGAGTTGCTGTGGGTACAGATTCATGCTAGTAATACCAGTTGCTGCACTTTGGTTCATTACATATCTGATTCTTATAAATTTCTTTTGTGTGTGGAACCTGTTGAAACCTGTTCCTTCTTTGTGTAGGTATGAAGTTCTGCAATTCTGTTGGCTACCTCCAGAAAAGCGACCAACAGCAGAAGAAGTGCATAGACTTTTAACTTACCTTCGCATGCAAAGCCAAAGGGACTCTGAGATTGATTTTGAGCAGCAGTGGAATGCTCTTAAACCAAATGCCTCAAATAGAGAAGTAAATAATTCCGCATTTCCAATCTTGGATCATTTTACAGGAGATAGACTTGGCCATGAAATGGAAGAAGTTCTTACTGTAACTGAAACAAGCCAAGGTCTCAGCTTCGAATACATCTGGGAGGCAGCTAAGCATGATCATTTTGACGAGTGTGGTCATGTGAATCCTGATGACGCAATGACATACACAAATATCTTCTTTCCAGTGGAGGTTTTTGAGAGGTCACTTTCAGAACAAGGGCCAGGAGCACAAGATGAAAGTGGTCAGGAAACATCCCTTGCTGTTCCTGGGGTGCTGCCTGTGTTTGATGCTCACAAGCTTTCTGTTGGAAATGATTACTATATCCAGTTAGAAGAGAAGGGTAGTGGCTGCAGCATGAATTTTGATAATCAGTCAGTTGTGCTAACTACAGAACTTGATCATCAAGAAGGTCTACAAGACAAAAATTCTCATTTCATGGTTCTCAGGGATCTTGATGTTGAAGAATCCAGCACTGATGGGGATTTCTTCCACTATAATACAGATCCTAAAGAGGAAATTTTGCCTGCTGCTGGTAGTCCAGAAAGTCCTTTCCAGAATATCTTTAGTGACATGGACAGATCGGAAGAACTGATGCATAGAAGTATATTCGACTTACCTGAAATGAATGATATTTCTAAAGACTTTAAGCCAACTGCTTTAAACTCAGACGTAGGCATTACTAATATAGCAAGCCCTTCCGAGAAAGAGCGTTCTAGTTGTGCTTCTGAAAATGAAACTCTCCTCTTGTGTGAAAATAACTCTAGCCAATCTGGCCTGCTAACTTTAGAAGAACTCTCTGATAACTACTTATTTCTTCAAGAGAAAAAGTTATTAACAGGGATACTGTCTAACAAAACTAGCAGTGATCTGGGGCAAAAAACAGAAGCTGTTCTAAAAAGTATATTAGAAACCTCAAATAGGAACTCTGTAGAGCCTGTACYTATGTTGGCTGAAAATGCACCTGTCTTTTCTTTAATATCTGAAAATCTTAAAACTGTGAAAGATGAAAATTCTAACCCAATGACAATAAATAAAGATTTGGATTATCACACTCGGATTTCTGCAGAGATTCTGGCACCTTCTAGTCCATCTGTACCACGTAAGTCATGTGATAATCATGTAAATCCTTCCTGTTTGAAGGATGAAGGAAAACCGTTAAATGTGGAAGACGGTGAAGTCATGCCCTATAATACTGATACTCTCTGTCAAGAAGACCTATCAAATAATACCAAAAATAATAATATTGGAAACAATCCATGTTATGGTGCTGCATTGGAAATGGAGTGTGAGGGACAAATAAAACCTGGAATGCTAATTAATTCTGAAGTAACTTTAGGTAGTGTTGGTAGAGACAAATGTTATGATCAGGAAGATAGGAAAAAAAATTTGCAAAATCAGTTACCTGTTTTAAAACAAGATGAAGATTTATTGGAAAACAGACAAGAATTTAATCATTTTCAGAGCTGTAAAGATGTTACTGAGGAAATTACCTTAGCTTCTGTTGCTACTTCAGATTGTACAAGTCAGGATAGTCTCTTGGGAGATGGCTCCTCTCCTACACAAACTGTAGAACAAGCCTTAGAGACACCTGACTCTTTGGATTCTTTAGATGTAAATGAGGTTTTAGAATCTTTACAGTCCCAAAGTCCTCAAAAACTTTTGCCTCCAGATAAACCTGCTGACAGTGGTTATGAAACAGAGAACCTGGAGTCTCCAGAGTGGACTTCCCATATCACGGTTGAGGACGCATCTAATGCAGATACTGCACTGGGTACTGTCAGTGACAGCAGTGTTAGTGCTTTATCTCCTAATCCAGTCATAATTGTTTCAGAAGTAGCTTGTGGGGATGCAGTGAACAGCAATTTTGAAATAACTCCAAAGATTTTTCTTAGTGGAAATCAAAATTCATATAGAGACTCTGCCTATTTCTCTGATAATGATTCTGAGACAGATAAAAAAACAGAAGAGGCTGTAAATCTATCAAGAGAGGCCACAAATGTTGTTTCTTCAAATAGAGAAGAGAATAATGCTGAAGATTACTGTTCTGAAGAGGTAGAGCAAAAGGATGAACTAAGGAATTACCAAGATACTAATAATCAAAATGCAAAATTAGAACTAAATCATGAGCTAGAGATGCAAGAGACAGATGTAACAATACAGGGGTGTCCTGACGARTGGGCTGAGGCAATGATGAATTCCCTGAAAAAATCAGTGGAGAGTAACTTCAGGAATGAAATAAAATCATCTAATGTTTCCCACAAAAGTGTCTCTTGTGTTGGCACCAACACGTCTGAACTCCTTTCACACAGAGAATTAAAGTCAGTACATGACATGCACTGCCCTTCAGATGCAAGTAACAGTGAGAAGTCCTTTTATCACCTTGAAGGTTCAAAACTGAAAGAACCAGACATTGAAGGAAAATATCTTGGCAAACTTGATGTTTCTGGAATGCTTGATATAGAAGATGGCGAYGATGCAGATGAAGAAGATGAAAACAGTGATTCCGAGGATGATATGAGGACTTTTCATATGCACAGTTTGAGTTCTGACAGTGAAGATGAAATTATTCAYCAGGTGCCTGAAATACTTAGTGACAACGATGATGGGAAACATCTGAGAAGCTTGTTGAAACTTCCAAACTCTCCTAAAAATGAAAGTCAACTTGAGCACTGGAAAAGTGAGAAAAAGTCTGTGACATTCTTCGATGATGTCACCGTCTATCTATTTGATCAGGTATCCTCTGTCTTTTTAATTAYTAAGTTACCTTTTTTAAACAAGTGACACTAAAATAGCATGATGTTTATAGATACCTTGTCATAAAGATCGCTTTTGTCTTACAAGGTTGTCTTCTGGGAGGTGGGTTCTTTTTTAAGAAAGTAAACTCTTTCTAAGAAAAAAAATGAAMCCCTTTTTAATCTAGCTACAATTGTGTTCTGATGGTAGAATAGCAGTAACTGAAAATGAAATTCAATTTTGCTTTGGGGATGGGTGTTTGCTGTCAAGTGCTACATCTCCACRGCTTCTAGCACTTTGGCATGTACAGCCTGAGACCTCCTCTCTTAAAATGTCCTTCTGATGCAGTTCCGAGCTGCRTTTAGGTCAGTATCATTATGCACTAAATACAGTTTTACTGACCAAATGTTGATGTAGCATTGTAGAACTAGTTTATCTGCTTAAAGACTTCAATGACTTTGAGTATTTTAGTTCAAATATATTCATAAAAATATTTWAAAAAATCTTGCGCTGCTTAGCATTAAGATAATGTTTGTCTATTTGCTTTATGAGTTTTAAACCTCATTAACTTGACATAGAGAGTGCTGTGTTTTTAACATTTTGGCAGTTAGACAAGTGAGTTGAAAAGAACAGTTGCATTGTCAGGCTTTGAAGATGTTGCTTATGATGCATATAAACACTAGAGGGCATTGTGTCTTGGAAGAGAAAACAAGTGTTGGGTGTTCTTTCTGCCTCTGTAGAACAGTAATCYCTCTGATGGGACGGGAATGCAAAAATTAGCTGTTGTGTTAAGGTGCTCATAGTTAAGCTCTTGCTTATTGCAGTAACTGATAAAATGTTGGCCTTGTCAAATACCTCTCGCACAAATTGTCTTGCCTCAAGTTCATTGTATGTGTGGTGGCTTTTTGGTTTGATTTCTTTTTATTTGATAGAAAACAACTGTCTCTTACAGACTGATTAGAGAACTGTTTTYGGTTTAATTGGAAGATATTTTAGCCATGTTCCTTTAAACTTTTTGATATTATAAATAACAGTCATTTTTTGCATGTACTTTAATGTAGATTTGATGCAACTTTTGTAGAAAGTAGTGTTTTTATATGCTTAATTTACAAGTCTCACTTCTGTTGACTACAGAAGTTGTTGACTTATTCACATACAGTAGATGGTTGCAGGCTACTTAATCCCATGGATCTGATGAGAAGCTGGTTTTCTAACCCTAATATCTAACTGTATGTACAAATTGTGCGTACACAAGAGTTAAATTATTTTTGTTGCCTTAGGAAACACCGACTAAAGAGCTTGGAAACCGCATGACAGACTTGACTAGCCAGGGCTCCCGCAGCACTCCTGTTCCGCCTTCAGGTTTTAACTACTTAAACCGATTTACCAATTCGGAGAGCTCAACAGATGAGGAAGGTACTTACATAAATCTGCTCTGTATATATTTATGACTTTAATGAAATGTTCCATTAAAATATATGTAATTCACAGGTTCACAGCACCATCTTGCTTAGGCTTTGCATTTTAAGGAGTACTTCAGCTAGGTTCAGCCTTATCGATTGCAATTGTTTGGAAGGTTATACTGGTTCTTTATAGATCAGTGTGTCTTAATCRGAGACGCAACCCAGTTGTGGACAACAAAACCTTGTGAGCCCATGCRGCTATGCAGCTCAGTTTCGATGCAGTCTCCTTCTGACGTCTCTCTCAGCTTGTTCTCACAGCTTCCAGACCTCTTTTTTTCCCCAGTCTCTCCGCTTTCTGTTCATGTGCGTGCATAGCCCATGCTTAACACCAGGAGTTAGGAGCTGATGCAAAAAGTTTACAGCAAAAGTTCTGTCTTTGTTCTTCCTGCTCCTGATTTCCAGGAAAAAAGCAAATTCTTTGCACTAAAGCAGGGGAAGACAGGGGTAATGTATTAGGATTTGTGCATAATGTATCGATAGCCTCTCCTCAGTAACTGTGACAATGAATGTTGTTGCTGTTGCTTAGGGGATCGTGTTTGTAATGCTATAGCAAGGTTTGTTATGAATTAATACAATTCTTAAGGACTTATTTTAAGACTATGGTTTTATATGAGTATAAATTGTCCCTCTGTCTCCTTTTTCCTTTGTCTTTTTAAGGTGGGGGATTTGAATGGGATGATGACTTCTCTTCCTCAGAGGCCTCTTTTATATCAAAGGCAGCTAATAGCCTTATTAGCTCTAAACCACCTCTTCAGTCAAAGTACTTCTCTCCACCTCCACCTACACGGACTCTCGAACAGAACTGGTCACATTCATCCCCTTATTCTAGATTCTCTATATCTCCTGCAAATATAGCAAGCCTTTCTCTCACACATCTTACAGATTCAGATATAGAGCAAGGAGGTAAGTTATTTAGTTCAAGTAATTGTTTTATAACAGTACTTTTAATTCTGTGAAGGTTGCATCTTACACTGCACTTTAGTAAGTCGTGCTTTTCCCTTAAAGATGAGATTATTTGCAAAGAAATAGCTAATAACTAGTGGTTGAGTATTTTTTGGAATAGAGATTATTCTCTCTAATACCTACCGGGCAAACTCACAATTTCAGTGTTTCCAAAATTAGTATCATATTTATGTAAATGAAACGTATGCAGTCTTAAGTATTTCTGTATAGCTGCTACCCTGTAGCAATTTCATAAGAGAAAACTAAGAATTGTTGTTATTATCTTGTCAAGGGTCAGAACTCATTATTATTTCGGAGGGTGAGGATACTAAGGAATGTGGGGGCTGTCATTGCTGTCCAAACTTATTTTACAGTTCACTTTATCTTTGTAGTTACTTTATAGGAAGTGCTTTCTTGAATAAAAAATGAGCAGGCTTAAATCAATTTAGCATATTATTAATCTTGATTTAAAATACTGCTTTATAAAAATAAATAATACTGACTGCTGAACCTTACTGATGGTTGATGTCTTAAATGTGATTGGTATAGAGTTGTATTGTCCTTACTGATTAGGTAATGTTTGCAGGTTAATAACTACAGATAAGAGATTATTTTGGAGATACAACGTTCCATTATGTGTCCTAGAAGTGACATTGAACAGTGTGAGTTAAGCAGATGTCTGTATATAAATGWAGCAACTGTTTACAATAGTTGAAAGCTCTAGGAAAATATTAACTCCCACTACTTGGGAGTGCAAAACAGCAGAAAGACAATTTCTAGCAAAAGTCTTGCAAAAAAGTAAGAATTTGTGCAGAAAAATCTTCCTGTACCTTATGACCTTTCCTGTCCTAATAGGAAGCAGTGAAGACGGAGAAAAAGATTAGATGAATGGAAGCTTCTTCTTGGGATTGCATAAACATACACACTCTGTGTCAGAAACTTCTTTATCTAAACTCTGGATATCCTGGAGTAATGCAGGTAATCAAGAAGTACTAAGAAATGAAAGTAAACACTGAAAGCAATGTTAAATCAGGACATTAATTTGAATGTGTATTTAACTTTGTAATGTATTTTTAAATCAGTGCAATTTTGCTTTTCATTGAAAGATGATTCTGCCGCTGTTTTCAAGTACTTGAAGTATTTTTCAGATAATTTAAGAAATAAGTAAAGCAATTACACTACRGTCTGGTTTATGTATGAGATTGTATAATATTCTTTTTATATTTTTCCATGTAGTTCATTATCTATTTGAACATTCACCTGTTGTAGACTTGTGTATAACTGTCCTGTGCAACAGGTGGCTGTGTTGCTGAAACTGTATGAATGATAGTTGGTCAGTAGTGAGCCATATTTATTCAAGAAGATATCACTACATATTACTTTGCTTATTACAATTGCACTATGGATTATTCTTCCTCTATTTCTGGGTGATGTACAGAATTAAAATCTTAAATTTTTCAAGGAAAATAAGACAAGTTGAATTGGCCCAGTTATCCAGTTTAATTTGTCCTTTTTGTAGCCTTTGCTATGCACGRTACTTGTAAAACATACATAACTTCTGAGTGTTATGTTAGACTTGCTGAAATCTTATATTCAGTACCATTTCTAAATGATTATCAGTTGCTAGTGTTCATGTTTTATAGGAAACTGGAAAGGAATATCTGATATACTCTGGAATTAATTTTTAGATAAGAGATGATGTCTCTTCATTCCTGAATATGATCTTACTGACTGCTTAAAYAGTAATAGCATTTGACTCTGTCATACTTTAAAGGCCTTCCAGTTTTCAGTACAATTTGTGTTTTGGAGTGAAAAAAAAATCTACAAAAATGTAGAAAACTGTATGTAAATTATAAATACTTTAAAATCAAATTCTGCAGACTAGATTTAGGCATACTTGGCCCTTTGCTTGTTCATTCTATGGATTTTGAAGCCCTCTTCTCTCCTCCTGACTGTAGTGTGGAACTGTCATTGAGGCCTGTGGTATATCTACCTCTCAGTGATTTTTATTATAATGGAGAATTAGATTAATGGTTGTTAATTCAAGCATTTGAATAAAATCTCCATCCAAAGTGGTGGTCAGCTGGCGCTCATGTTTCTTACCCTTTATAAGCCAGACTGATTTGAAGAGGTCTTCAGGGCTCCATGGTGCATCTTAAAACTGACACTGACCCAAAGAGACAAGATAAAGTTTGTTTTGAAGTTTTCTGTAGACAAGGGAATATGTGTGTTTTCTCATGTGTGTCTTTTTGGTTTGTTTTCTCTTACTTTACCTTACATTTAGCTAATTTAATACTTTAAACTGTTTGAGAACTATCTTTAATTACTACCCCAAAGCATATTAAATTATGGAGCAAATCTCTGGCCTCCTGGAATACCTTATGCAGCCACGGATCTGTGGGGAGCACTGACAGGAAGGATTTTTAAAGCATTTTGTATTTTGGTGACTTTTTGCCTGGCCTTCAGTGTAATGCTAGTCTAGGTGCTCTGTGTTCATATGCAGTCAAGAAAGAATTTTGACTACGCAAAGATAGGGCTAGATGCTTTCAGATGTGTTAAGCTTCTGTGTTGTATACTTCTATATGCTTTTTTTWAAGTAAGTTTTAAAAGACAGGACTATATTTTTTTTCCAGCATTGTTTAGCCCTTAAGACTTAGAATGGTTTCCATACCAGTCAAAAGGGAATGATTTAGTTTAAGTTATTTAAAATTGCCAGTATATTATTGAGAATACTAGTTCAGATGAAGCACTCGGGTTCAGAACTTGATCAGAACTGTACTTCAGTATGAAATGAGGAACAGAATTTTTCATGGACTTCTCCCAATGCACGATTTACAAGTCAAAGCCAAGTAGCTCTTACCTGCTTACAGTATGCACTGTAGAGAGCTTAAGCTGTGCAATATCTGTTGAAATATTACAGAATAGACCTTGTGCACCATGTATTGCAGCTTACTAATTCCATAATACTGACATTAAATTCCTTGGTAGTTCGATTAAGGCATCTCATCTGTTTTCTGTAATTCTCATATCAGAAATGAAGTAGGAAAATTAAAACTGAAGAAGGAAACTCTTTGGCCTGCAAAATTGGCCTGCAAAGAATGTGTGGGCTTACCTGCCTTACATGAGGAGAAAAATCTAAAGTACCAGACCAGAGTTCAACTTCAATTTTGAATTATTAGATTTGGCACACATTTGAAGGTTAAATAAAAACTTATACACTTTAAGGTTACAAATTCCAGCTATGCTTTTTCTTTCTTGCAATTCTGGAAAGTCACATATTTGAATTTTTACTCCTTTGTCACAGTGGACTAACGACTGAGGAATTGTCAAAGGAGTATGTTTTCCAGAATGGGTTGGAATGTATTTGATATTAAGCAAGGTAACATCTTTCTTTAGCTRTACAGTGAAGGAAGATGATAAAAGTTGACTCACCACACCTAAAGTATGAATTTTAATTTTAGTAATCCAGTAGGCTGGATTGAAGTAACCTCAGAGGTCTTTTTTGAGGAATACATAGTTAAAATCAGATCAACTGCTGGCAATATCTAAGTAAATTTCACTGAGCAGTCAGTTGCACAATGAAAATAAATTAGTGATTCCAACACATCGCAGTTTAATAAGGGAGTTTGTCCTGAGTCATACATTATATGTAATTTCTTGCACTAGCTACTTAAGCATGGTTTCTGTTTTTAGAAGTACATGTATCTATTTTCAATGGTTTATAATGAGGACTGGTTCCATTTTAATTCCTTCTCCAGTAGAAAACCTGGATTATTCAAATATTAAAGGCATTGTCTCAATTTGGCTAGTAAAATTATTTAAATATGAACTGCTTTCCCACCTTAAGGAGGTTTGGTCTGTAGCCAGTTGAGTGAGAAGAGTGTTTGGTTTAAATGGAAGCACCTGKACTCTCCCAAATCCCAAACCTGCAGATAAGTTGTGCATATAACTGCATTTATGGAAACTGCCATTTCCATGGAAACAAACTGATTAAACATTTTTCCATATCCTTGTTGATGCACTAATGAAAGCCATTTAAGCCTCATTCTTTTTATCAGTATTTTTAGCAGATTTTTATGTAATACTAAATCTCTTTCAGTGAGGAGGCTGGCTGGTAGGAAGACATTTTTTAATGATTAAGCACTATGCTAAAATATTTTGTCAGCAGTGTCAGGTGTTAGTGGCATGGCTATTTTTGTTGAAGTTGGTAAAAGGTGGAATCAAAGCATATTAGCCTTATAAGAAATAGCCTTAAAATAAGAAYGGAGTGTACAAAACTACTACAGCTTTAAGTCATACAGAAATATCCTTGTATGTTAATGCATTTTGGTACAAGACTGGAAGAAATCTAGAGGAGAGTCAAACATCATATAAACTTATTGAAAATAAGTATTTGTAATACCAGCAGCCTGTTTTTCAGAAACTTGAATATGACTTACAGTTAGTTTTGTTTATGAAATTGTTTGAACTTGCACAGTTGTTAGGTGTAACTTAAATGATAAATGGTACTGATGTGTGTATATATAATGTTTAATTCTATTTGTAAATGAGAAACTATGTAACAAAATCATAGGTATGAGGTTTTCCTATTGTAATTTAATACAGGTATGAGGTTTATGGCAATATATCATAGTTAATGAAATTTCAGGTCAAAATGTCTTTAAATTGTGTACATTTTTAAATTGTAATTTCTACTGTATATTGATTATCATGCATAGTGTGATTCAATAAATTGCTTGTAATTTAAAAATATTTAATATTAAAATAAAATACAGTTATATATTTATAATCTCTTTGTCTTTGTTCATTCTTACACAGATACCAAGAATAGATTAGGTCTACATTGTAGTAGAGGTGGTTGCAGTCAAGAAGCTATATTCAATGCAGACAGAATATAACTTTTAAAATTGATTATTGCTTATAATCCTACAACTTGACCTCTGTAGAAAGGGAGCGCAAATTTCGGTGTTCGTAAGTACCCTTCAGAGAACAGATTAATGATACGCTGTTTATTGAGTTTATTTCTATAAAAGTATGAGTTTTTTTTTCTTTTAAATCTAAATGCGTATGTTGAACTAACTGAAGATCTCAGGTAAACTAAGTACTTGTGCATACTGGCAGCTTCTTTCCATGAGATTTCATTTGAGTCCTGGCACAGCCTGAGGCAGGAGAGCCCTGGATTTTCCTTTTAACCTATTAACTGCTCAGGTTATGATGAAACTAGTACAAGTAATCATATCAGTGTTCTGAGTCCTGGCAGCTGTTGAAACCTTGGAACAAGAACCTGATATAAAGGTGACTTAATGAGGTAAAATATAACTACAGGACTGAAACTTAACCAAGACACTGGCCTCTGTCAAGAAGAGACACTAAAAATCTCATAGCACTTACTGGTCATCTCCTATARGACCAACTACCAAAAAACATGAATGTTCACCATCTTCATCATTGTCAGCAGTCTTGTATAAGATGAAGTGCTTTGGCTCTGGGTCTTAGTCATGCAGGTGCTATGATAACTTGTATAACCCAGGTTGTCAAGTCAGGATGAATTACAGTTGTRTTAAACACTGAGGTGTAAGCAAACTGCCTCAGGCAAAACTCACTACATGGGTTGGCATGGGGGAGCTGTGGGGCTGTGTCTGGKCATGGGGGAGCTGTGAGGGATTCTCTGGGGCCCAGGTCTGGCACCATGACYGTCAGCCACGGTGGTTTTGCAGACCAGCTCCTCCTGAAGGGCTGGCCGCAGCACAGCTCTCAGGGATTTGGCTTCTTGTATTAAGGTAGTGTTAGGGTTTAAGACTGCAAATTTTCACTGAAAAGTGAATATGGAAGTGCCTGTATTATCTGCCTTTGAAATCTAGACTGAATTTTCAGGGAAGTGTTAAAGGCCACTTAAAGAATGAACTGGTGGGATATGTGTACCCCCAGATGTCACTGGGGGCAGGCAGGGAAAGCTAGGATGCCTCTGGGGAGCTTTTAGTTTCTCTGATACAATAAAATGACTGAAATCAGGCAGCACTTTGGGTTTTTTTGTCGTTATTTCTGGCTGCCTGTGGACAATCTTTATTACTTAAATGAAATATCTTGTGATGCTATCTGTCCCCCTCACCGTGAAACTAGGGATTGTGTTAGATGCATATAAAATATATGTGTATTATGTGTATGTGTATTATATCAGTGCCTTGCTGTGCCATATCAGTGCTGTGCTATATCAGTGCCTTGCTGTGACACCACCTGCCCACAGGGCATATATGAAAATGCTTTAAAACGTGGGTGATAATAAGGGGGGAAAAATGCATGATGGTGCTTTAGAAGGGCAGTTTTGGGACAAAGCTCTGTGCTTTCTGCTGTCACCTGGCTCAAGCACCCATTTAAAAAGGAGACGGGGGTGGGGGAAAGAGGGAGACGGAGGCTTCGCCTGGAGGGGGAGAGCGCTGCGGACCTTCGCGTCCCGCCAGGCCCGCCCCCGCCGCCGCTAAGGCGACGTGTCGCGGCGGAGCGGCCGCCCGCGCCACCCCAGCGCCGCCTC